ATTCCTGCGAAGCCTGCTTTGTGTCTGTGTTTGAGTGAGTGAGTTAGTGAGTGAGAGACAGACAGACAGACAGAGACTGACTACTGGTTGTCTGAATTAGTAATTTCCCAATGTACTAAATACTTTAAAGTATAGTACAGGAATTCTGAAAAGACAGTGGGTGTAGATGCGCACATACACTCGGAACCTGTTTCTTCAAGGTCAGAATTCTAGCTCCTTCTCTGAATGACGCCACCCTTGAAGCCAGCTATTTGCACGCACTCTGGAGCTCTAAGCTGTACCCGTTTGAAAGCAGTCCAGGGGCGTTCCCTGTCTTTTATTGGGTTCCTCGCTTCCGGCACTCTGAAAATGCAGCTTGACTCAAAGATCAGATCGGGCCATCTGTGAGGACTTAGTCGCCGTGACACACCAGCCATCCTGGCCCAGAGCTACCTAACCGTGAGGCCGGGCAGCCGGAGTAGAGGGCAACCAGAAACCAAGTTGCTGCCTTGTTTTCCTGCCTTCATAGAATAGCCTTGGCTAGATTTCTGGGAGGTAGCCAATGGGCATGGATTAAAAAGGGAAGAGAAACTGTGCTTGGGGCGCGCATGGCTGGGAATGGATTTCAGTTCAGGGGTGTGGAGTCGCTAAGGTTCTCGTTTATTCCATGCCTCTTAAGAAATTCAGACACCAACACATGGGAAGAGTGGCACATTGTTTAAAAAGCCATTCAAGAGAAGGCAAAGGAAATGTATATCATGATTATTTTCTTTGAAAGGGCCGACCACACTGGCGGAAGAGGAACATTGAAGGCAAACAGTACCTTAGCAACATGGGGACACGAAGCACGTACCTGCTACCCAGCATGGCGACCTTCGTCACTTCCAACAAGCCCGACCTCCAGGTCACCATCAAAGAGGAGAGCTGTCCCGTGCCTTACAACAGCTCCTGGCCCCCGTTCCCAGACCTCCCCCTCGCCCCCTCCGTGACCCCAGCGCCCAGCAGCAGCCGGCCAGACCGGGAGACCCGGGCCAGCGTCATCAAGAAGACCTCCGACATCACCCAGGCCCGCGTCAAGAGCTGTTAAGCCTTCGACTTCCCCTGGTGGTTGTTGGGATTTCTTGGCTTTGTTTTATTGTTTGTTTGTATTATATTTTTCTTTCTGACACCTATTTTAGACGAATCTTAAGGGAAAAAGCCTTGACAATAGAACTTTGATTGCTGTGTCCAACTCCAGTACTGGAGCTTCTTTTTAACTCAGGACTCCAGCCCCTTGGTAGACGCATATCTCTAGAGCCTGCTGGATCTCCCAGGGCTGCTCCCTCAAGTTCAAGGACGTCATAGGACCAACACCCACACGGGCAGTGAGGTGCTGCATTGCCTGCGGTCAAGGCCAGCATGGTGGAACGGATGCCTCTGAATAGAGGAGAAAATGTGAACTAGCTGGAATTTTTTATTCTTGTGAATATGTACATAGGGCAGTACTAGCGACGTTGCAGTCTGCTTCTGCACCTTATCTTAAAGCACTTACAGATAGACCTTCTCGTGACCCTGCTCTGTTTCATAGCACAGTCAGCACCCCTCTTCCCTCCTCCCCTCCCCCCTCCCTTCCCATCTCGTCCTCTTGCTTTGCAGCCCCTCCCCTCGTTTGCCTCCCCTTCATCCCACCCCCTCCCGTCCCCTCCCGGGCCCTCCTATCCCCTTCATTTTCTTTCCTCTTTTTCCTGCCCTCAAAGGCTGTGTTCCACATCCCTGAGGAGAAGAAAATGAACTTCTCCACAGATGTCCCGTTTTAAAAGACTGCTTTAAAAAACAAAACAAAAAAAAAAAAAAGAAAAGAAAATCTTTCTCATCTGCTATGCTTGAATGCCACGCGGTACAAAGGAAAACTATCATGGAGAGATTATGCAAATTCCCAGATTTGAAGAGAAAAATACTCTAATTCTAACCAGAGCAAGCTTTTTTTATTTTTTATACCAGGGAATATTTTATTCAAGGTAAAATTCTAAAGAAAATATAATTGTTTTTTATCTTTTCTACAGCAAATTTATAATTTTAAGATTCCTTTTCTTGTTTATCGGCAGTTGTTATTACATCCTTGTGGCACATTTTTTTTTTTTTAATTTTGTAAAGGTGAAAAAGCTTTTATGAGCTCATGTAGCAATCAAATTATCCTGTGGATTGATAATAAATGAATATGATATATAGTTAAATTTTTAATGGGCATCACGCCTGGCTTTGTGTGTGAGTCCCTTAGAGCACTGTCATGGGATTGGACTGGTGCAATATCGTTTCTTCTGGTGGGCCAGAACTTTACCCCTTTCGACCCTGGAGGTTTCTATTGTGAGATGGCTTCCTCTGTTAGGCGCTCGCCCGGAGATGGACGTTGCGCTGCGTGTCTTACATGATGATTTCACTTGTTCACTCATCCAGGTTGTGCACAGGATAGAGATTTATCTCCGTTTCACAGGGAGGAGATGGAGACTTAGAAGGGGAAAATGCCTTTACTCAAGGCCACATAGGTTGTCAGAATCCAAGGCTGGTGTGACTATGGAGAAGTCTTTTTTCCCCTTTCCACTACTCTCTACTGTCAGCAAATTCCACCCACATCTGTGTTTTTCTTGTTCTTGAACATAGGACTAAAATTCTGTGTTTATGTCACATACCGGGCTCACAGATAAGACGCCTTTGAGAACAGGAAACATTTGTTGGGTTCCTCGTCAAAGTCAGTCTTCTTTCTAAGACCTGGGGCCTCAGACCTAGGCCCTGCCCTCAGAACTTAAGGCATGTCTTTTCTAGTGACAAATGTGAATTCCACACCCCAGACGCCCCCCACCACCCAGTCTCTGACCTTGGGAAAGAAGGCCGCGGCGCTCACCCCTCATGCTTCCACAATGTCCAAAAAATCAGCCTACGAAGACTTAGCCGCCCCCCTACTACCTCTGGGGGCTTATGGAGGAGCTTGCTAGGTTAATATTTGAAAAGGTTCTTTCAGTGAAAGGACAAAGGGCTAATTTTAATGCCTCTCTCTGTGGGTGGCTGCAGATATAATTAGCGGCCATAAAATTATCCAGCCCTGAACAAAAATTAACTGAAGCATTTTACTAGTTGCTGTGCTGTGGTTGAAATGCCAGGGTTGATGGTTGGCTGCTTCCGCGAGGAACACCCTGGTGACTGGGTTTACCTGCGCTTCACGGAAAGCCTCCCTTTCTGTGCTCTTCACTGGAGACCTACCCTTCTCCCAGATCCTGAGTAAACAGGTCCAGTTCTTTGCGACTTGTATCTAAATCCTTCTACTTGGTCATCCTGTTTTAGAATAAATTAGAAACCAGTAACGGAAGGTGGCTCTCCATCACATGGCCTGGAGATCAAAGGGTTAAGGCCAGCTCCTGACTCCTGCCCCCCTTCCCTCTTCCAAACACAGAGGGAACCCCCAGCTCACTTCCTGACCCCTGTCAGCAGCTCTGCAGGGCCCAGACGCCGCCTCACGTGCTTCCTCCTACACGGTTATGACCGGAAGTACAGCATCTTACCAGGTGAGAGAAGATGGGGCATCTGGAAATGCACCACTGAGGGACTGAAGGTGACCATCCATTGCCAAGCAAGCCACGGAAAACAGAATCATGTTTAAATTATTTCTGAGAAAGGCTGTCGTGTTTCTCAGTGTTACTTGCCAGGAGTGTAGGAAAAGAAGCTAGTCAGCCCATGCCTAGGGTTGGCCTGAGGAAGAAAAACAAATGAGATGGGGCGACTCAGGGACTGCAGCCTCAGACCTCATTGTCTGTTACAGGAACTGCTGTGGACACGTGCTGCTTTCGTCTGGCGTCTGTGTGAGCTGATATACTCTTATGATGGGCTTGTGTGTGTGTGTGTGTGTGTGTGTGTGTGTGTGTGTAACTAGCAGGTTCAGCGTCTTGTTCTCTGCAGGCAGCACCTCGGTCACCCCTTGGTAAGAAGGAGCCGGTGCAGATGTGAACTGTGAATCCAGTGACGGGAACTTACACCCACTCAGAAGGTTGAGAGAACCCAGCACATCCTGAACCACAAAGGGCTTCCAGAACGCCGTTTGCAAGTCTCTAAATAAATCCATACTCAACCATAACATTTTTTCCATGTTTTGATGAAGTAACTGCCAAAGGAGGTGTTTAGTCTATTTAAATGTATTTATAGAGAACAAGAAATACACATGGAAAAGAAATGCACACAAATCCATTGGCCATCAGAACCCCAAAATAGTATCTTTTTTTTTCCCCTCCCAAATCTAAAGTGTACTAAACTATCAGGTAACCACTACTGAGATCAAAATTTTAGGAATGAGGAAGGTACGTGATTGGGTTTCAGGGTTCTGAGTTTTCAAATTTGAGCTTTTGGAAGTATTTTGCATGTGAATGAAAACGATGTTAAGCCCCAAATGGCCTCCTGCCCCAATGGAACATTAGACATTCCATTTGCTTGAGGCCATTCTTTGAACATTGAATTCATTAGGTTTTAAAAGCCCCCCTGTTATTCTAGCTATGGACAAACAGACCCAGATAAAAGGTGAGAATAAGAAGCCCGCTATTTTGCGGAATCTCTACTGAGGCAAGACAAAAAGGGCACACTAGAAAGAAGTTTGCACGCAGGTAGCCAAAATGGGTCCTGGCATGCAGCGTCAGGTACGCTGTGTCTCAGTAGCAGTTTTGGTTTACAAAGAGAAAGGAGGCAGAAACTGGTTTTTACCCGATGGTGTTCAGCCATCTCATCTTGAAAGGCCACACCCTGGCGCCTCCAGGGCCAGGATGGTCAGAGCCAGTGGGACCTGAACCTGACCAGCCAAGGGGGCTGGGAACCAGCTCTCCATCTTGTTCCCAGGCTGCAGTAGACCCCTCCCTGAGGGGATCCCAGTCCGTGGGACTGGAAGCTTCTCAGGGCTGTGTGTCAGTCACATTTGCATCCCACGTGTGGAAGTTAGGCAGCCACGCCCAGGATCTCCTCGCCCTCCCCTGGGATCCACATACTAGTGTCAAAAGAACAGGGCCAGTCCCCTGGGCTGTCCCCCTTTGGAGCGTGACCGGCCACAGACCCGGAGAGGAGTGCCCCAGGTTGTGCAAAACTTTGGGTCAGGGGACACAAGAAGATGGGGGGTGAGATGTTCCCTCCTGAGGCTGCCTGGCCTCTGGGCCCCTGCCGGCCCTCTGGGCCCTGGCACCATCCCCTGCCTTCTGGCTTGGGCAGTGTTGGCCATGCTGGGTGGACAGACAAGGGTCTCTGAGGTTTCCTTCTGCGGCCACACTGACAACAGGTGCAGGGGCTCTGCTACCGAAAATAGTGCCTGGAAGGAAGGAAGTGGCCAGCCTAATAGCCCGTGTGAGCAAAAATGTGAGGTCTGTTCAAGAGCTTGAGTCATACCGTGGAAGGACTGGAAGGATCGAGAAGCAGGACATGTCAGAGTTCACACAGTCAGAAAAGAGCATTTTCTGGAGTCCTTTAGGCAATTTCTTAAGAAGAAAAGCAGCATGGGTGCTTCTGCTTCTCTCAGCACGCTGCCCTTGGGAGACTTGGTCAGTTTCTCTGTATCTGCTTTGTAAACACGTTCAGACAGAGCTTGCTGGCTCTGAGGAATGCATTGTGCTGGATTGTGCAACTCTGCCTCCGTTAACCCCTCACACACACACGGCCAGAGAAAAGCCACCGTCACGTGCAACAGTTGATTTTAGTAACGCAACTGTTTTTGCATGTGCAAAACAAACTCCAGGGTGATTGCATCACTAAGTTTTGGTTTTGGTTGAGAAGAATATTTTAAAATCTAAACATCCAAACGTTCAACACCGTGAATCATCAGGGAAAAAAATCTCCAAGATGATCCATCTACCGGAAGCTTGGGTCGTAGATCTGAAAATGCTCATATTCTCCAGTTCTCTCTAATGCACCAGATCAAAGACATTGTTTTCAATCCACAAATTATACTTGAATGGGCTGTCTGAAGTTTCAGGATAATGTTAGCGCTAGAGAGTGTGAGTTCTTTATGGTTCGTGATAGCTAAGCCTTTATTCATCCCTAGAATTAACGAGATTATAAACAGATTTCTCTTGCCTTCCCCGAAGGACC